TCAGGCACTTTGGGGAAGGGCACCATGCGGATGGCCATTCCCAGGGAGGTAGATCCGTGTCTGTGGAGGGAAGTCAAGGCAAGGTTACAGTGACACAAACCTGATGCTCTTCAGGTCCTCCAGGCTGAGGTTATTGATGGTGATGCCTTTGGTCTCAGCGAGGTGGACGGCCTTGCCAGAGGCAACGTGAGCTTGTCTGAACGGCATCTGCAGTGAGAAGGGGACAGGACACAGGGCCTCATCTCACTGAGCAATTCTCTGCATCCAAAGAAGTCACAGCTCCAGGTTTCCCTCTGATACTCACTCCTTTCCGAACCAAGTAGAGAGCCAGGTCAGTAGCCAGCATCTCGGGGCTCAGTGCCCTCTCCATGTTCTCCTTGTTGATCTGTAGAAGGACAGTCAGGTGGAGATGTTATCATCAGTTCCTCCTTGGGTGCACATTAGTGGTCAAAGTGAGGGAAATTCCTCTGGAAAGGTCCTGGCTCTAAAAGGATGCTCTGACCCCCTGAGCAGCTGACAGAGGGGACCAAAATGAGCAGTATGGGTGAGGCACTGAAGAGTTTTCATCTTGGGACTAGAGTTTTGTTCCCTGTGGTACTGACAGAATGTGCACCATGACCATGTTCAATAGCAAGAATCTGAAGAAGAAGCCTTACTTGGAGGGTCGAAATCACTCCTGTGGCAACCTGGAGCACAGCATTCAGGGTGTCCACAACATCAAAAACAGCCTCCTTGTCCTCCTGTGTTAGAACAGGGATGGAAATGGCTGTAAGTCAATGTGATGCAGCCCAAAAACCCAACAGCCAGCTCTTCTGACTCCTCAAGAGAGCAGAAGACAGTTGTATGTGCTCAGAGAGATGGTGTGAAAACTAACAAGTGCTTTACCTGCAGGTCCTTGTTGTAAGTGCTGGGGAGTCCTTTGAGGACCATGAGAATAGCAGCCAACTGCAGAGAGAAAGAGGCAGGGCAGTGAGTTACAGAGCCAGGCACATCCCCCAGCACAGGTTCAGAGCCCAGGCTGGGCACTGCTCTTTATGCAGAGGGAGAAGGAAGATGCTTCAGCCCTGGTAGGAGCAGTTTCCCCTCCCACTTGCTTCTTTCTCAGGCTCACCCGTCCGAACACTCGTCCAGCTTTGCTGCGGATCAGTTCCAGACTGTCAGGATTCTTCTTCTGAGGCATCAGGCTGCTGCCAG